GGTCCAGGCCTCTGACAGGCGTGGGCCTGAGGTCCAGGCGCACGCCTGTGCTGAAAAGGGAGGAGGTGCGGCTGATGTGCTGGTTTTGCAAATCAAAGGATTATGGAGTATATTTCTTTTGTTTCTTCATGCGTCACTCCACTAACTCCTTTCTATCTTTCTTTCTTTTTTTTTTCTTTAATTCATGGAGATCCACACACTTGCTGCTGGCCTGCTGCTGCATTGCTGCCACACTTGGCCGGCCAGCCAGGTTGCGCCACGTGGCAGCACCTGGTTGGCCGGATTTTAATCCGGTCCGGAAATATTTTCTAAAAATACAGTCTTGCTCAAAATTTTATTCTGAACAACTTTTCCTTCTGTGTCGACTTCAAATTCCGAACCAATTTGGGTCAAACAAATTATTTTTGAATCAAATCAATTTTTTTTACATTTTTCTTTCAAAACAATTTCTTTTTGGTGCTTTTTCAATCCGTTTGACCTCAAATCTATTGACGGGGTGCATCGCCACATTTGAATGCACATTTTTCACGTCATGGATTTTCGCCATCTTTTGCTCATTTGCTCCGTTGCATTCCATTTGCACAATCTTTTACCTTTTTGTACCACTTTTGACTCAATTTTTATTCTTTTTACAACAAGACATAACTTTTGTGCACTTTTACAATTATGAATAAAAGATATAAAAACCATTGAGAAATTGATTTGTTTAATCCAAAATTGGACCACAACACATTAAATATAGAGAAGATAAGTGCGTACAAAACGGACTTATCAATGTACTTCACCATTCAACTGTATTGTAAATGGTGTAGTGATGCTTGTTCCCCCCAAGACACAAATTGGTGAGGAAAGTTTAGGAGCTCCATGATTTGAATCATACCCTTCCAACTAACTAAATCATATACTTTCATGATATCCAGTTTGATTAAACACCTTGGTGAAATCCCTTTCCTATTGTATTCTCTTGTTAATTCATGACACAATAAGATATTATGGGCCAAGTCCCTATCTTGTACAAAGGCTCCTTGGTTTTGATTAACAATGTTTGGCAAAATCTCCTTTAGCCTACTACAAAGGATCTTCGAAATGACTTTATAAATCACATTACAACAAGCTATAGGTCTGTAATCTTTGGCACAAACAGGTACTTGTATCTTTGGAATCAGTGTCAGAGCTGTAGAGTTGATCTGTTTCAGAAGTTTGTCCTTAGAGAAAAACTCTAAAACTTCCTTTGTGATCAATCCCCCCACTGTCCCCCATTGATTCTTAAAAAATCCACTACTATATCCATCAGGCCTTGGGCTCTTGCTGTTGGGCATTGAAAAGAGGCATCCCTTCACTTCCTCATCTCTGACCTCTTTCAACAGAGAAAGTTGTTGTAGTATATCAAGTTTGTTTCCATATCCCATGGCATCTATTCTAATGTTAGCAGTGTCCAATTCTGTTCTCAGAAGTGATTCATAAAATTCCAGCATGACTGCTGCCACCTTTTCCTCCCCTTCTACCAATTGGCCTTCTTTGTTTCTAATACTGAGTATTTGGTTTTGGAGTCGTCTTTTCCTTAGACAGGAGATGAACAGTTAGAATTTAAGTCCCCTTCAGTAATCCAGTCTTTTTTATACATCTGACTCATCATCAAAAGCGATGCCTTCATAACTCCTTGCAGTTTATGGATCAGAGTGCTCTCTTCCTTAATCAATTCCTCATTCATAAGGTCTAATTTCAGTTCAGTTTGGGTAATATGCAGCTTGATCTTGATGGCATCTACATCCTGAAATGTCCTCCCAAATTTATTTCTATGTAGCCCTTTCAGATGCATCTTCAATTCCTTCGACTTGCAGCACACTTGGTACATGGGTCTCCCCAGTATTTCCTTATCCCATACCCTTTTAACAATGTCTGGGAACAGTGGGTCCAATGCCCACATGTCACAATATCTGAAGCTTCTAGAGTTTTTGTTACTTCCTTGAACAATTAAAAGAGGTGAATGGTCTGATATGCCCTCCTCCTTTACATTCAGTTTAGTATTATGCTTGAGCATCCAGTCAGCGTTACATAATACTCTATCAATCTTTGAATAAATTCTTTTACCCTGCTCCTGTCTATTAGACCAGGTATAATAAGAATCATCCATGGGCATTTCCTCTAACCCACACCAATTCATGCATTCTTGGAAGTCCTTTATTTCATATTGTCCCACTGGATTCCCCCCAATTCTGTCTTCCATCCCCAGGATACAATTGAAATCTCCCATAATTACCCAGGCGTTTTTTGTAACCCCCTGTAACTTCCTCAGATCCATCCACAAAGTGTTTCTTTTGCTTGGGTCATTATGGGCATAGACAAATGTGATAGCATCCTGTGAATCCTCCCCTGTCCTTCTTATCACACAATGAATAAATTGGTCAGTGCTCTTGACTTTTGTAAAAATGAACTTACTTGGATTCTATGTAACTCAGATCCTCCCCAAGTGATAATCCCGGTGATTAGTTCTAGAATCCCAAATCTTATTTATTTTCTTAGCTACCACTTGAAAGTTTTCCTCCCTTATTTTAGTCTCTAATATATCCATCATTTCCACCTTATTCTTATTTATAAAATGCCTTGTTTCAGCTTGTTAATTTGGGCTATTCATGCCCCTAATATTCCAAGCCCCTATCATGAGAGAAAAGGATAATGAGAGAAAAGGATAATGTCCCCCGCAGGGATCCTCGTGGAATACTCTATTTATGCCATTCACAAATTGCTCCTCAAACTGTATTACCCTCTTAGCACTTTTCCTCCTATCAACCATTTGAAACTCCTCATTTTCCTCTGCCTTTTTATCCTCCAATGCCTTTTTATCCTCCAAGGGAGGGGGTTCTTTTGCCTCCACAGGCTCCCTGTCCTGAACTTTAAGTTTTGGCCTCCATATCATGGTTCTCTTCCCTTGTGTTTGACCTATCTCCTTAGATCTGCAGATAGTCTCAGAATGACCGAGTTTCTTACATTTCTCACAAGTTATTGGGCACCATTCGTAGTCAATCTGCTAAGATACCACTCTTCCTTCTACATCAATAAACTTAATGTTGTCTGGAAATTGCTATTTGATGCTTACTTCTAGTTGGATTCTCGCATAACCCATCTTTGACATTGTTGCAGCTGCTTTGTCCCTCTTGACAGGTTTACCAATAATGCTTCCTATTTTACATAATCCAGAGAGGCTCCAGTATTTTGGGTCCAAGTCTGGCAGTCTAATCCAAATAGGTATATCTGTTAACTCCTCCAAGTTCACTTTCCAACCAGGCTTCCACCTCTGGACTAACATTGGTTTGTTATCCATAAAATAGTACTTCCTCTTCAGCACTTCATCCCTTTCTGATTCTTTCCCAAATTGTACCACAAATTGTCCTTCCTTTAACACTGAAATTTCCTCAATATTATATTCCTTCCATATTCTTCTTAAGAATCCATCCATAATTTTAAGTGGAGGATTAGCCCCTAGGACACAACAAATAAGTGTGGCCTCCCAGTAATTAGCTATATCCATCAGATCCTCCACAGACATTCCTGCCATTTTAACCCCATTGATTTCCTCTGTACAAACTTCAGTTCGAAATTAGTTTCTCCTTTAAACCTTACTACTTCAGCAAAAGTGCGTTTAGGATCTACCTGGTCTTCCCCATGATCTTTCATCCCTCATGTTGTTATATTAACATTCGAATCCAGATCTAGAGTTTGTTTCATCTCAGATACCATTCCAGACGAGGGAGTGTCATTCTTACCTGTAGAAGATTCTCCCGTGTCTGGAGATTCGAGCTCAGTATTCTGCTTCAGAGTTGACTGCTCCGTTGCCGGTACCTTGGCCTTCTCCTTCCTTGGTCGCCCCCTTTTCCTCGCAGTCATGGCTCATCACATAACTTAATTATGTCTATTATTTCTAAATAATACAAAGTGGATACTCCTTCTGTCTAACTTTAATCTTCTCATTTGCACAGGACACACAAATTAAGGAAAGATAGATGTAAATCTCATTTTCAATGTTAAATACTCCCTCCGTCCTATAATGATCTTTTCGGTTCGCAAAACGAAGAAAAATCCCAAGTTTTTTCAATCTATTTTATTTAAATATTGGTATAGAAATAAAAAATAAAACATACATATTTAAAAACTACACCAAAAGTTCAACAAAACAAGTGGTGACAAGAATATTTTATTTTATCATGTAGGCCATGAAAAAACACAAATAAATATAAATTCCCGTGAAGTTGGAATAGTGCTCTGGGAAGATCATTATAGGACGGAGGGAGTAAAATATTTAAAATTGTGTTATATTTCTTCTCTATTTTATTTTCAATGTCGTTCACATACTCTTTCACACATTTTATATTTAATTATAATTAGTATATACTTCTTCATTTTATAGATGATAATATTTGTTTAGATATAAACTATTATTATTTTGATACAAAAATAATATTTATTTTTTACTTTGAAATATTTTAAAAGCTTATAAAATAATTACACTACACGAACATTTCTTTCTTTCAAATAATTAGATTTTTTTAATTCACTCAACACATAAAAAAGACTATATATTCTACTACCTCCGTCCTAGTGTATTTGTCCAGTTTGACTTTTTCGAGTCAAACTGGATAAACTTTGAACTCCAATTACTCTCAATTTATATTGCATATTAGCATAATGAAATACAATTTTGAAAGTTCTCAATACAATAAATCCAATAAAGTCATTTTTATGTTAAAATACATTACGATTTTTATTTAATTGAAACTCAAAGTTTGTTCAATTTGACTCGAAAATCCCAAATTGGACAAATACACTGGGACGTAGGGAGTACTTTGCATGACTTTGGTAGCAAGTGTTGAGTAGCTTAAGTGGTTATATTTTTAGAGATTTGTGTGATGAGGTTTAGTGTTCAAATCATATCTATATCATTTTATTTTATAGACAAAAAAAACTTTCGCACCAAACTCGCGAGTCATGCAGGTCAACCCGGTTCACCGATTTGTGATCCGACCAGTTAGATCGGCCAGTCCAGTCTGATTCTAATTACATTGGTCTGGCACCGTAGTGTTTTCCATACACGACCTAGACCCGCACAAACACGGATCTGGACAGGACGGTCATTTTTTACCCATATATCTAGACGGGCCAAGTCCGCCCATATAATTCGAGATAAACATAATACCTAGATCTGATCTGATTATAATATAATTTAAAGTCGTTGCATATTAGATCTGATCTAATCTGATATAATAATAATAATAATAATAATAATAATAATAATAATAATAGTAATAATAATAATAATAATAATAATAATAATAATACTCCCTCCGTTTCTCAAAACGGTTCCTCTTTTGACTTTGGGGAAAAATAAGGAAGTATTAAATTGTAGTTGACTTTCTAATTTTGCCCTTGATGTGATGGGTAAAAGTAAGATGTGATAATTTAGTTGTTAGTGAAAAAGCATGATGTGATAGGTAGGGTATGAAAAAGTAGGGATAAAAGTGGTTTTTTAATAGAAAAGGAAAATGTTTTAAGAAAAACAAAAAAATGAAAGAAGAATGGTATTAAGAAACGGAGAAAGTACATAGAAAAAACAAACTATATCGCATTTTTCTTAAATTTTCTTAAAACAAACTATAGAGAACTCGGCCTAAGTCGCATTTTTCTTAAATTTTCTTTCTCTGATCTCAATCATTGTTCTATTGATTGACGGAAGAAAACGTGTGAAACCTTCAGCTCATGCAATCATTGACTCTAGAAGCATTCAACATATTCATTCTTCAATAGAACTATTGCCTTAATGCCGAGTGCATTGATTCCAGTCCCAACCGGATGAATCTAAGAAACAATCACAATGATCAGAAGTGCAATAGCAGCTACTGGGGACAATACCACGAAGAATTTAAGAAGAACGATTCATCGTTACCTCGACATGTGACTTTCGAGTGCTTACCGTCCCAAAATCTAATGGATTGGTGAGGAGGAAGAAGAAGAGTAAGAAGAGAGGGTGAAGAAACATTGAAAAAATACTAATAGGACTTCCATGTTTTTATTCTCGAAATATGACTTACATTACCAAATATTGTCATGTACATTATATTACCACACATTATATTACCACAGTATAAAGTCTTATTTCGAAAAAAAACATGAAAGTCTTATTTTAGTAATTTTTACTCTCTCTCTATATGTGTGTGTGTGTGCCAGCCAGTTCCTTTGAGAATGAACATTGTGGAGAGAATGTACGAAAGATGCATTTTTATTGGCCCATGGTGCATTTTCATACGCCGTTAGTGCATTTTACAAAGGTCAATTAAATTATGAACCGGTCACCGCGTTTTTTTTATTTTTTCTTATTTTTTAAATGTTATATGGTACTTAGATCTCACATTCTAAAGCACCACATGCATTCTATCACATTATAGAGCACCACATGCATTCTCTCTCTCTCTCTCCCGATCATCTAGTTTTGATTACAAAAATTAAACAATAAAAAATTTAATCTTTTTTATTCTTAATTTTTTTTTATCAATACTAGGGGTTTGTATATGAAATTTTTAAAAAACATATTCATAAATTCGAAATAAAAAAATAAATGCAAAATAAAATAAAAAGCATGCCTTATTTTAAAGAGAAAAAACTTGAAATAAAAAAATCAAAAATTAATTACTACAAAATTTTTAATGCACACATGCCTTATTTTAAAAACATAAAAAACAAAAAAAAAATTTGTCAACTATGGAGTGGAGAATTTATTAAGTTTCAAATTCAAAGATAATATTGTTCAATAAGTTATGGAGTACATGGTAGAATATATATATATATATATATATATATATATATATATATATATATATATATATTGACGAAAATTTTTTTTTATTAATGAAATCTGAAAGACGGTACATGCTCATTTTTCAGAGCAGCAATTACATTTGGGGTACAGGAAGTAAGGGTACAATATTCAATGAATTTGGCATCCTGTGTTTTATCCTCTTTAGCTAGGAGATCTGCAGCCCGGTTGCCTTCCCGAAGAATGTGTGAAGTGCCAATCTAATTATCTTCAATGATTTTACGTAAGACATCGATTCCAAACGGGGATCCATCGGGAGTAGAGTATGTGGTTAAGTGCCTGACGATGTCTAGGGCATCTGTCTCATAGATAAGTCTGGAGTGTAGCTTGAGTGCCCAGCTGATCGCCTCGATTCCAGCCGCAACTTCTGCTTGAAAGGGAGTGCGTGATGCGAGACTAAAAGTAGCAGCCCTATTAAATCTTCCATTCTCATCCCGCAATATGGCTGCCCCTCGTTGGTTAGATATTGTGAATGATGCATCCACATTAAGCTTGAGCCTACCCGTTGGAGGAGCCATCCATTTGATTATGCGCACCTGCTTTTCTTTCGTAAACTGTGGGATAATTTTCATGGCAAACAGTCATGCATCATGAGTCCGAATTTTGTTTGGTGTTTTGACCAGTAGCCATTGCCGAATGTAGGTGGAGATCTTGTCAATCAGCTTATATGCATTTACTCGGTGTATCTCACCATGAATGATCTCATTAAGCTCTTTCCAAATATGCCAGCATATGATAGAAGGGATATGTTTTCTAAGAAAACCATATATATTATTGTTTCCTCTCAACCACCAATTCATGAGATGTTGGTTTATGGTAGGAGAGGATGAGTAAGTAAAGCCAAGACACCTGGAGAAATGCTCCCAAACCATGGTAATATTTGGACAATCAATGAGACAATGCTTAATGGTGTAGTTGGCGTGCATGCATAAAGGGCAAATCGAGGGGAGCTGAAAGCCTAGTTTTTGAAGATTGTCTGGCGTAGATAGAGATCGTGTATAAATCTTCCACATAAAGATGCTAACTTTAGGGTTTTGTGATGGATCCCACATAAATTGGAAGGCTTTGGAGACATTAGAAGTGGCACGACAGTGATTATAAGCTGATTTCAGAGAGAAAGACCCCTGAGGTTTTCCATATTGGAGTGCCATCATCCTGGAAATCACAAAGGGAGCTTGCAAGGTCATCAACTCTTGTGATTCTCTTCCAAATTGAGGAGTCAATCAAGTGAGCTTCCATGTTACCTTCTCGCCAGTATTTAGCCCTCATAAATCTGGCCCATATGCTATTCTCATGGTGCACCTTCCACCACAGTTTGAGAAGAAAGCAGCTTCTAGGGTTTTGAGTCTTCTAGTCCCAATGCCCCCTTCCTCTTTAGGGAGACAAAGATCCTCCCACTTCGTCCAGTATATATATATATATATATATATGTGTGTGTGTGTGTGTGTCTATATATATATATATATATATATATATATATATATATATATATATATATATATATATATATATAAAACACATAATCCTAATACTACCAAATAAAGAATGGAAACTATCAAAAACATAACATTTACCACAAATATTATTAATGTCTAAAATCTAAGGGTAATATAAATAATAAAAAAATACATGAGCAATACAAATAAAAAAGAACATGAGCATCCATATATGTATACTCTCGCAATAAGGACTATTCTCATTTGCAAAAAATAATGTTGGGTGATGGCATAATAATCCACCATCTCACGATAAGGTCTATTCTCACACTAAGAATCATTCTTACTTGATCCAACCCCTATATATAATAAAGGAAATAATAATCGTGGTCAAACTAGTTTCTCACTCCAACATATTAACCACACAAATTTCTAAATTTTCAACAAAAATATATTCTATAATTGACCTTTCCATAACATTGAGTTTTCCATATTTAGTCTTCTATTATAAAAAAATAAGTCCATGGTCCTTTTATTAGTGGGTACCTTTCCAGGAATGATGTTTTTTTACCAACAAAATAGCACAAGTATCCCCCCATGGTTTAGAAAATAAGCACTAATAATCTTCATGTTTTCAAAACGTATTTCTAAAGTCGCAGTGATTTCAAAACGTTGCACCCATATTCTCTTTGATCGTTTTTTGGAAATTTTTCCAGCTAAGAAGAGAGCATTGCTTGGTGCATACTTTCCAAACCATAATGGCACTAATGCTCAATTCTTATTTTTCATTTGTTTTTTTATTTTTTCCTTTTTTTTTTGTTTCTTTTATTAATCAATTCTTAAAGAATTTTTTTATAATGTTCTTGAAATTAACAATTATTTTTGTTTGAAAAAAATTTAACAAATACTCAATCTGTACGTCTCAAATTTAAAAAAATTATTTTTTGATTTCTAAAATAAAAAAAATAAAAAACTTGTTTTGAAAACTTCAAAAAATGAGGATAAAATAAGAAATAAGAAAATGTAATAAAAATGAATGCCTTTGTTAGATATCCCAATTCTAAAGACTTTTTTATGCATTCTTAAATTCTTTTTTGTATAAGACTCTTTTTTAGATGTTTTAATTATTTTTCATTTTGTTTTCTTATATTTTTATTTTTTTGAACTTACTAAAAATATTATTCTAGAAATAAAAAAGTTAAAATGTTTAATTTGAGATAGATGGAGTATCTATAAATTTTTTTTATTTTTATTTCAAACACAAAGAATTTTAAATTCTTAAAAACATTACAAAAAATAAAAAAGAAATTTAAGAAACTTTTCTAGGAGAAAGAGACAAAGAGATAAAAAAAAGTGTAAAAAAAATTGGAAAAAACAAAGTAATAAACGAAAAATAAGAAATAAGCACATGTGCCCTATGATTTTGAAAATAGGCACCATTCCCCCTCTTCACTGGTTGGAGGGGGTGTGGATACAGAATTTTGAAACCACAAATATTTTAAAAATCCTACTATATACAATGCTAGGTGCATTGTGTGAACAGTGTTCCCGCCTAAACTAAAGGCTTGGTGGACCGGGTTTGGGCCAGGCTTTGTAAATTACAGGTTTGGGCCTACTTTGTGGTGTGGGACTCAATAAAATTGCTTTATGTCTATTCAATTTTAGTGGCTCCATAAAGTTGCATTGGGGAAAAACAAAATTGAGTGGCTCCATAAAGTAAATTTAGAAAAAAGTAACTTTACGTCAAATCTATCTATTATAAAGATTTTTAATATCTAGCCATTTAATGAATGGTTAAATGTATCATGAAGCATGTATTATATATATACTCGAGCATAATGATGTGAACTTCATTCCTAAAAAATAAACTTCTCAAAAATCATCTCAACATTTCCATTTCTCATTCAGCATCTAGCTCTCCACATCAATGGCAATGGTGTTTCCTTCTTTACATTATACACACACACACACACACACACATCTTACTTATTACTCCGTATATAAATGTGAGGGATGGTTAGGTACCCTCATTAGGCCATCTCCAATGGGATGCCCAAAAGAGATGCTAGGAGGAGAGAGAGTAAGATGTTGATGGATGCTAGTAGATAGATGCCCAATAAAGGTGCTCAAAGAGAAAAATGATAGAAAGATGCTTGGCCTAGCACCCGATGCTTGAGGATGGAAGAATTGAGGCATTTGTTTTTTAAGTATTGTGGTCCAATATGTATGTGCCATGTGTCAATTTATTATTTTTTCCATTTAAAAGTTTGCATTTATAGTTTTTTTGAAGGCTCGAAAGTTTTTTTATTAAATTAGATTTGGCAACTTCAAAAAATTAGATATGGCAATGTTCTAGAATTCAAACTCTTTTTTTAACGGAATGATTATTTTTTATTTATTTTGAAAATTTTCTTAGGTATTTGTTTTTCTGTTTGTTTTGAAACAATATTAACCACATCATATATTAATTACATAAAAAACATTTTAAAATATTTTACAACATAAATCTAAGAAATTTAATTTTATATCAATATCTAATATTTCCTCTGTTTGGAAAAAGTGTTCCTCTTTTGACTTTGTATAAAAATAAGGAAGTACGGAGTATTAAATTGTAGTTGACTTCCAATTTTGCCCTTGATGTGATAGGTAAAAGTAAGAAGTGATGGATAGATTATTAGAGATAAAGTATGATGTGATATGTAGGGTCTGAAAAAGTAAGGATAAAAGTGGTTTTTAATAGAAAGTGAAAGTGTTTTGTTGGAAGTGAAAAAAAATGAAAGAGGAAGTGTTTTTGAGAACGGAGGGAGTATAAGTTTTATTTAATTAAAGACCAAATTTTACTAATTTAAATGTAAAAAGTCAAAATTAGATATATATTCTAGGAAGAAGGTAATATTAATAATAACGAGTAAATAATTAATCTTAATTAAAAAATTATCATATAATAAATACTTATAATTAAGAAAATAAAATATAATTATATTTATATGGACCCACTGCATTTATTGAATAAAATGAGGCATCCATATGATATGCCACTATTGAAAGGTTTAGACGTTGAGAAAGGTGCTCAATTAGCATTTTAAAAGTAGAGTCCACACTTCAACATCTAGTGAGGGATGCTACCATTGTGGATGCTCTTAAAAATGTACTTTTGCCATCCATTTTATTTGTACTCTCTCATATACGAGTTGTACATTTCATTTTCCAGCTGTGATTGCCCTCACCACCGTTAATCTGTCCGTCAATTGGAATTAGAAATCTACACAGAGCTCCGTTCTTTTGCATTTCGGTCTCTTGCTCAAAGAGTCAAAGGCCTGTCTTTGCCAGCTACACTCCTCGACTTCCATCATAATTCATCCCCTTCATCATTCTCGTCGCCATCATCCTTCTTCGTCATCGAACCCCATTTAGAAATTATGGGTACGAATAATAAACCCAATTTTGTTTTTATTTTGATTTCCTTATGACAATCTTCATTTTTTTGTTTTGTTTTTGTTGCCGGTCATTTATCGGTACTCTATTCTACCATCGAGAATCTTTATAATGATTTCTAGCCATACTTTTAATCTTGCTCTCAATATGTCTCTGTTTTTAGTTTTGTTACCATGCTCGCAAATCGAATACAATTGCATAAATCAAAGAGCTATTGGACTCTATGTTTTTGAACCACCTGAGAATTTGACTTGAAATCAATATATATATATATATATATATATATATATATATAGAGTCCATTCGATCATGATTTTATATATATATATATATATATATATATATTCGTACTTATTATTTTTTGGTTGATGTGTACAAGTCTTTCTTTATTAGCTACAGAATGTTATCTATTTCACATTTATTAATTAATCTCAGTTTATAGGTTCATCCCAGAATTTGGGTTCCTTAGTTCTAGGCTTTTGATGTTAAACCTTGTGGTTTATTGTGATCTTCTCTTTTGGGCATCTCGGTGTTGTAGAGGTTGTTTTGTAGTGTGTTGTATTTGTTTGAAATCTTTTGCTATTGCTTGTACTTGTTACTTGAACTTGGTGCTCTATCTGTGTTATATTGTGTTCCCTTCCATATTTTTGTGCAGGTGGAGCCGGGGGTCTCTTGGAAACAGCCTCCCTACTTCCGAGTAGGGGCAAGGTCTGCGTACACACACCCTCCCCAGACCCTACTGTTGTGAGATTCACTTGGGTTGTTGTTGTTGTTGTTCTCTTTTGGGCATCTCATGCATCAAGGTATGCCTGCCTTTGGGGATTTCCAGTTCCCATTTGTTTAATAAGTTATAATATATGTGCTTATTGATATAGCAACAACAACAAAGCCTTATCCCACTAGGTGGGGTCGCCTACATGGATCAAACGATGCTATTGCACCCTATCAAGTATTATATCTGTTGTGCATATAAGTGCTTATGGATACGAGTGAGTAACGTTTGTGTTCTTCCTTTTTAATATTTTTTGTCTAGATTCTGGATTTTTGCACTGCAGACAGGCTTTGTTGATGAAGGTTTTTTTCTTTACTATTAAAGGAGTGGGTGAACAGCAGATGACCTCACAACAAATGGTCTTGTATATATCCTTAGCAAAATAGACTACATGATAGGAATGAGAGTATGAGACACTATACTATCAAGTATGTTTTCCTACATACAGCTGTTAAAGTTATAATACTAAGTGACTTAAGATATGCTGCCCTAGGATGACTTCTGTTAGTGTCTTATTGCACTTTGCAGGTTCTTATTGACAACATTAAATATTTTGCTCATATATTATACACTCCTACCACAAGATTAGTGTGCCAAAACTACTCAAGGTTGTTCAGGTGCCCACGTGGGATGTGTTTAGTGCCAAATACAAGGGAGAGATGAAGTCTATGATCTATAACTAGCCTTCTAAACATGTACTGAAACTTATTTATCTTTCAATACACTCTTAAAGTAAATTAAACAAATGCTTTTGAGGTTAAACTCATTCTAAATCTCCCCAAAACTTTACCAGATATACCGCTAGGCTTGGAAGATTGTTTTGCATGATGAAGTTAGTTTGTCAGAAATGAACATTTTGATTAGGACATATCTAAGGATTTCGGCATTTCACTTATTGGAGCATATCCAACTGATGTAATTATTGTTCCAGATTTTTGTAGGTAGACATAATTGTTCTCACAAATGAAAGTAGAATACTTGGCCTAGGAGATCTTGGAGTCAAGAGAATTGGCATACCCATTGGCAAACTGGATATGTATGTTGCAGCTGCTGCTATCACTCCACAAATAGTAAGTGCTCTCTTTTTTAGCTGCGTATTTGGCAGATGAAATTGATCCAGGAAATTAGACCTTTTCTACAACACCTTTACTTACTCTGTTGCATCCCTTTTTTTTATATAGGCGTCTCTTAATTTAGAGTTATTCTCATTTTTCTTTTTTAGGCTAATATGCTTTTGTAGTTATAAAAGAGTTTTATTCTTTTAGAAAATCAGGGATAAATATATTTCTTAGGTATTATATTCTTAATTGTATCATATTCTGTTCACCTTCTTTTCAACTGATCACCATGAATAAAAAAACACAAACTAGATATTAATATCCAATTTTTTTACTCTAAAAAGTAAAACAACTCACAAACAATTGAGTACCCTCTGTCATACTTCAAAAAAGACAAAGCAGTAAGTTTTCTTTATATTTTCCCTCATTGATTACCACCCATTTACTTAAAAACCAGAAGAGCACTGCCGAGAAAAGTACACTAAACAAACTAAATACAAAGAATTAGTTAACTACTTAACTTTGGCATTTTGGCCTAAACTACTGAAACTTTGAATTTTAATTTACACCCAGATACATCTTAACTCTTAAGAGGTTAAACTTCCCTTAGAGATTGGGAAATCTTTTGCATGTCAAAAAAAATTACAATGACGAATACTGCCAATCTTCTAAAACTTTAATTATTTTATAATGAAGGTATTGATGCATTCATGGTAGTTGCATTCATGCTGGTTGTATTGTTGAACACAAATGTCATCCCGATAAACCTAAGGTAAGTTGTTCAAACTCTTTCTCACAAGAAAACTAACGGCTTAGCAGGGTTGATATCAACTGGTTTGTCTAATTAGTCAAACCTTATGATATAGTAACATCTAATTTCTTGAATTCTTATACTCCCTCTGTCCACCATATATCTTCCCAGACACTATTTACAGGGTCAAACTTTACTCACTTTGTTTGCTCATTTTTATTAGTCATTTCATAAAATAATATAGTCTTGTCACCTCTAGTTTTGTAGAACTTTTCATGTAGTTTATTACTATATAAATTTTATTTTAAAATTTTACTCCTAAAATCAATTAAATTGAATTGAAAATAAAGTCGGTCAAGCCTCGTAACGCGTAATGGGAAGATCTTACATGGACGGAGGGAGTAGTTGATAAATTATAGGCTACAAATATATTTTTGACAGCCAGACTTTGACAAATGGGATTGTGCACCCTCAAATGACATTCTAATTTGTCTTTGCTACATGTATTGCTACATGTATCTACATCTTTTACGCTATATTGAAATTCATCTATTCAAAGAGCTTAAAATTTCATTCTATTTTCTATAATATTTAACTTCTATATATAGTTGTACACTATTAATAATTCTTTCTATGCGTACATTTACAAACACTTAGGCATATATATTTCATAAGGTCATCTAGAGTAAAAAACATACTTGGTATAATTTTATTCAATAAAAAGTATATTGTTAAACTATACAATTATATATGGACATAAAAATGCTTCTCTCTATAACTTTTGGAGAAGCATATATCAAGTACTTCTAAACGAACTCAAAACTATTATTTTACTATTCAAAAAGACTTAGCAAAAAAAGATCAATATAGTGTTTTTACCATCTTCCTAGCACTTTTTAAACCTTTCACAAAACCTGAAAGCTAAATGAGTACTTATTTGAGTCTCAAAAGGAAATTTGGTTGTTTCACTTCATGGTATTTAATTATATCACAGTTCATATCTGGAATGTCTTTGTTCTTGTTCAAGCCACACAATCATTCCCTTTCATATAGAAGTGTGAAGGCAAGCTGCATATTGATTTGTTTAGAACTCTAGAAATTTCATCTAACCTTCCCATTATGAATCATAGTAGTTTCAAACGTAGATTCAATTTTGCAGAAGTACAAAATGTATGGTAGTTTAGTGGACTTGCCAACCCATTGGTAGAATGTTATAGAGCTCTATTTTGCCTTTTCAAATATATTTTAATGTAGCAATTTTTAAATACTTTTTTGTGTCATTGAAAAGAGGTTAGTATTTTTATTTGAAGGATGGCAATCTTTATAACTTTCTAAGTACTTTAAGACCTGCACTAAGGAATGTGCATAGTAATGATCAATATTCCTGCACTAAGCATTGTTTCGTTCTGGTCTTGAAAATATTTTCCTATTATAGAATATGCATTGGATGAAAATATGACACAATACGAGTAGACATCCGAGAAGGTATATGGTACAACTAGATGTACGGTACATCCGGGTAGTACTCATTCTAAAGTATAGTATTACTTATTCTCGTACAAATATAATTAGCGTGGTATTCATTCTAAAATAGTGCAGTACTCATATTCACACATTAGTTCACTATAATTATAATATTCATCTACAAATAATGTAGTGTTCATTCTGACACAAAACAATACTTATTCTCAAATAACTTAGTGTTCATTCTCATGTAAATTAAAATTCATACCAGAAATAATTTTTTGGTTGTATCCCAAATTGGGTACAACCGGATGTATAATATAATTTGCCGTATACATCCTACCAAATTACTTATCAACACTTAGATGTAATTTCTTTACTCTTGTTTTTTCATTTGTAAAAAGTGAGCATTATTCCTACATTATCTATATAAACACTAAAGAATTGTCACTGAATATCATACTTCTATTTAACGAATAAAACATATTGGGCACTATAATCCGCGCATCGCGTGGAGTAATGCTAGCATATATATATATATATATATATATATATCTGTGTGTGTGTGTGTGTATACATACACATTTCATCAATTATATATACCTAAATAAAGTAATTTATAACATTTGACCAAAATTATATTAATATACTTGAGTTATGTTACTAAGTTAAAAAATAAAATTTACATATTTAAAAAATGATATTAAAAATTTTATAAATGAAGAAAGGATTTTATTTTTTCAAATAAGTTGTTTAATATTAAAAAACATTAAAATGAAATCTTTGCATGATATGCATTTTGTAATAGTGTCATTTATATTAATGATTTTGTGTTTGATGGCAGCAAACATTAAAGAGAGAATTACCGGTTCCCCGGTCAAGCAATCAATAACTCAGAGTTCTGACATCTTTGAACTGACTTTTGGATCCACATGTTCACACAATGCACGCGACATCTCCATCGGCTCCCAACTTATGCCACAACTATGATCTAAAACATCCTTAATAACTATTGACTCACCTTTCCTCAAATGGTGACGAAAGCGGATAAGTTCATTTTTCGTCACGACATCTTTGGATAAACGACAATATAGGTAATTATCATCCGATGTTTCCCTATTAGATGCTTTGAGGTCATAATCACCACTGGTTTTTGACAAGTCGTGTTTCTTCTCAGGTAGCGACCTGAATTTGTTCATTATCTGTTCTGCTTTTGCTTTCAAATCTGAGATCCATGTCTTTTCTAGGATACGCCTGAGCTTTAATAAAGTTTTACACTCACCAAGACAAAATAAATTCCCATTATTTTTAGCTGGACAATCAGGTGAGGAACCACATTGGGTTTTTGAAGTTGTTTGTTTCCTGGACTTTCGTGCTTTCTTGCAATAGGTAAGACCCTTGCAACAGGTAAGATATATATCCCTTTTGTGTTCTGAGCAGTGTCTATGAAGATCAAATAACGATGTTGAGCAGCGGTCACTGGTTAAAATAAAGTCATGGATAATAATAAGATATTAAAAAGGATTCAATTAGCATACAAAGGATTCAATTAATAAGAAAATTACCATACGATATCCTCATCAGGTTCAATGCACACTCTTTCTACTAAAGACCGTGATATCCCTACACAGGAAAAAGACCGTCATATCCCTACACAGGAAAAGGTTCAATGCACATTATAGTTTGAATAGTTACCTTGAGAGTCTTCTTCCATGACTATCTCCTCCTCTTGTTCTTTACAAATTTGTTCTACAAACGGAAGTAGTAACTTGATTAGGTGAAGATGCTGCAACTTCACTTCATTAATATCTGTTTGTTCTTCAGAAATAACCTCAGATGGCTCTGGAGATTTCTTTTGAATATTGGAGAGATAATTACTTGATAAATCAGCTTGAACAGCAGTTCTCTTTTTTCTTGAATAAGTAGCAAACTTGGTTTGAATTGTCAATGCCTTTGATTGATCATGAGTTGGAGCGTACTCAAAACTCATGCAGAGTTCATCAGTAATCATTCCCTCTTGGAAATCAATGATCATTAGTTGTTGGTTGTTTTCAGGCTGCTGAATGTCTTCTTGGACTTGTTGCTCAAGTTCCTCAATCCTTTTCTTGAGCCTTTGAATGTGATCATTTTGATTGTTAATGACTT